TATATATATATATATACACACACATACCTATATATATATATATATATATATATTAGTAAAATATGATCAGCATAATATAAATATTACCTGTCAGAATCAGGGCCATGTCGGGCAATGACCATCTTCAGTCTCGAAAGACCGCCGACAGGTACTCGATCGCTACCCGTAGTGAATTGAAGAAGTCTTCGTTGACTTTCTGGTGGTAAGGAATGCGCTACACGCCAAAAGTTACGTACCGCTTTGCTATCCACGGTATAGCCACCTTCGTACTCCGTAGCTGCTTCCAGCTCAGCAAAATCAAATATTTTGCTTCCACAAACGAGCTACGCGTATGTTGAATAATTTCATTAAAATAAATTTGATATAACGTATTCTTTACGCCATATCAACGATTGTACCTGCTCAATCTCTTCAGGTCTAAAGAGTAATGCGAGCGGACTCTCGTCTGAAACCATTTGGAAGCCACGTCTGAAAGCGTTGAATTGTCTCTCCACGGATTTGTTAAGCAAGAAATCCGCATAGAGATCAACAAATTCCTTTTTGTTTTCCTGCGTGACATACAGCTCATCACCATTCTCTTTGAGCTCATGGAACGATAATGATCCAAACACGTCTCTATAGAAAAGATGCAATGAGAAAATACAATAAAATTTTTATCGGCATGATAACTAACTTATCGAAAACATACCTGTAACTCACTCGGAAAGTTTGCATAAATGTCTCCGGCATGTCATCTCTTGTATACTCTATTAATTCTTTCATTGTTCGATACAATGTTGGACTCCAATCCTCCAAATCTGGAAAACCGCCTTTCCTACCTAATAATTTTCTATAGACCACCATTGGAAAACGTACATCCAAAATTACATTGTTATAAATTGCTAAACCAATAACGATGCCTATTAATGTGAACTGTGCGTCACTCTCAAATGATGTTGGATTAAACCATGTCATTTGCGTATCTTCCTAAAATAAAATAATATCTTATAAAAACTAAATTATGAACATATAAAAAGAAGTATTAAGGGGATCTTAAAGTCTGTATAACTAAACCATATAATTTTTTATAACAATTACTTTTTTCCTCTCTTTTACTGATTTAAAAATTCTTTTCCAGAATTAAAGTATATATATATATA